AATGACACGAGCTAAGTTTGGAAACTTACACACCAATCTCAGCTCAAGATTTCGACAACGGTCAGACGATAAACGCAGCACCGGAAGAACTTCATCTATTCGACGAATCAATGAATAGATTGAAGGCTGAAGAAGTTAAGAATTGAGGTAGTTAAAGGTCACTATACGAAATGGAGGAGATGGCCTATCTTATCCAAAGCATTTCAGACTCCTCTATAAAAGAAAGAGTCTGAAATGTTTTGGAGGGGGTATCTGTAGGCATCTAAAAATGCCTATGGGTGCCCGCACACAGCTCAAGGCAAAGAGAAGGCGATGAACGTCATTATCCGAGTCAAAGAGGATTATCCGACGCCAACAAGCACATGAAGCGAATCGGTGAACTATTGATGACACGATAACGAACCACCACAATGGCGAACGCCAAGTGGACCGCACGCGTCAATCAACTCAAAGCGTACAAACGCACCCAATAGTCAGTTAGCATGCACGCATCATTCAGCTCGTTCATGTCAATCAGTTCGCGCGTCAATCAGTTCGTGTGTGTCGGTCAACACGCATGCGTCAATCAACACGCACGTATATCAACCAACGGACGTTCGACAGTCAATCCCGCAACGAAGCGTGCAAGTCAACAAGACGATCAATTGCGCAAAACGGTGGAAAATACAAGTCCCGGAAAGACTAAAAAATACCAAAGCTCAGCAAAAAGTCAAAACACCACGTTCGCGCGGGTCGGACCGCGTCGACCCGCGCCCGCGCGGGTCGGACCCGTGGTTAGGCTGTTGTTAACTGAAGATAGAGCCAAATCACTTATTCTCATCCAAATAACCGCTTCCGAAGCCCTATAAATACAAGCCTAGGGCCTCCTTTCAGCGAGGATGAATTATTATCAAGACGTAGAGGTGCTGCTGGATTGAGGAGTGAAGGAGCACGAATTTCAGCGAAGGCAAATCAGATCCTGGCGAACTTCGGCATAAAGAAGGAGCTATTCGAAGGATCTGAACCCCGTCCGTCCGTCCCTTGAGATTAGGCTTGGTCTTAATCTCGAGAAGAGCCCTGATTTCGCTTGGTCGATCTCAGCGCTTCAAATCAAATACTTCCTCGGTGAAGACGAAGCTCTGCCAAATTTTTCGTCAACCGGGTCCAGATCAAAGGCGGTCCACGGATAAACCCCGGCACAGGCAAAGATCCCACGCAAGCAAAAGACCGATAAACGATCTCTGCGTTTGTTTTGACGAGAGTTGTAACTTTTTGTTTTCATTGTGTAAAAGTCTTATAAAAAGACAATCTTTTTGTTTTCATTGTAACGACTAAAGTTGTAATGAATACCGCAATGAATACAACAATTTTCGACGCAAACATACATCTAATAGGAGGACTAATTTGACATGATTTGAGGGACTAGATGATAATTTTAAATTTTGAAAGACTAATATTGATTGATGGAAAACTGCTTATAACTAGCTGGATTTATAAATATATGAGCTTCAAGCCTTCACCCCTTGGGAAAATGTCAAAAAGTCTAAAAACCACTTAGACCTAGACAAATATTTATGCTTGTGTCAAATAGCCAGCCCGCCGCTTCCGGTGGGCGTCCCTCTTAACATACAACATTTTTTTTGAAGCCTGGGTTCCTGAGGAGTCGAGCAGATGCTTGTAGAAGTCACAGGATAGAATTCGTCAAAAAGACGCTGCTGGCAAATTAGGTAGCTGAAAACTACATTGGGTTTGTGGGAAATATGATTTGAGGTATTGGGGTTCATTACAAAAGACGGATTCGAGATTCAACTTCTTGGGACTGATCTCCCTCGAGTCTCAGGTATCGAAGTGGAACTATTAATTAATGGCATGAAATTGGTCGAGAATGTCAATGGAAACTGCAGCGATGGCAACAATGGACCCGACCGAGGAGCGGAAGGAGGCTGAGGAGGGGGTGAGAGAGGGGACAACGTGGACTTCTGAACAATGGATTCATTGTCGGCCCCAAGCTGATGATATTTATTCCTTGTTACGTAACATTGATAATTATCGTAGGTGTAGATGTGGTTCATGTCCTTTGTGACTTTTGTGTTAATACTTATTACTTGTCACATTTGTGCAGGCTTATTTGTTACATTGAAATGTGAAATATGCCATGGTAAGAAATAAAATGTGATATTTATTAGCTAATAGTTACAAATAATCAACAAAATGTAATATGTAATAGCTTAAAGTTAAGAAAAACGAACAAATGTAACATCCAATAGCTTAAAGTCACAATTAAAATGGAAATTAAGTAACATTTAATTTCTTATTCGTGACGAATAGCTACTAAATTATGCATAGGTACGTTTTCTTTTTCTTTCTTTCTTTTTCTTTCTTTCTTTAAAAAAACTACATATTTTTTATTTCTGACTTTTAGGTAACAAATGTTGCATTTGCTTGTTAATTATTTGTGATTTTTAACAACTAAATATTACTTTTGTATATTTTTCATAATACTTTTGTATATTGTTTGTGACATTAACATATTAAATGTTACATTTTTTTTATTTGTGACATTAAGCTATATATATTAAATATTACATTTGATTGTTTTTTGGGAATTTTGGAAATAATAACATATTTATTTCTTGTTATCATACTTAGCATCTAAATATGACATCTAAGTAACAAATAAACCATAAACTAATGTGGCGGTAGGACAACAAGAATCATTAATATTCGTACTACACATAATTTGTGTATAGAACTCGTGATGATATATATCAAGAGGACGCCAACAGAGAAGAATGAAGACAAGGTTATATATAGTATCAACACTTCTCGCTGCCTAAATTGTACCCCTCCGCGTCCTCGATCTGTCGCCAAGTGGTGGCCGATGATGGTGGGGGATGTGAGTCATCAAGGGCTCTCGTCCACTGGCACCGCCACACGCATCACCATATATACATGAGCACTGAACCTACAACCTCGTCCACACCCATTCTATTCCCACCATAATCACCCAAAAACAACAATCCATGCGCCAAGATCTTTATCCTAGCACATCTCTTGTCGTCTCGTTCGCCATAATTGCTAAAAGGATGAGGTATATATGAGCAGAAACTTAGGCCATGGCTCAAAATGATGAAATTGAGCTCTTTTTTATTTTAAAGGACAATTAAACTTAAAATGTACGTCTATAATTAAGTTGTTGTCATTACGTATTGGATAGCAGATTCCTAATCTGTTTTGGTAACAGGTTATTAGGATTCCTAATATATTTTAGTAACATGATTCTTAATCTGTTTTGGTAACAGGTTATTAGGATTCCTAATTTGTTTTGTTTTTTATTTTAGAATTCCTAGTCTGTTTTGGTTTTAGGTTTTCTATATATATGGAACGCCTTAGAAGAGATTAGGATCATCAAAAAGAGGAGAGTTGTAATCAGAGATTAGAGAGACTTTTGAGCATTGTGAGAGGGAGATATTGTGAGCAAGTTGAGAGCTTTGGTTGAGGGTTGGTTTGTGAGTTTTGTGAGATTGTAACCCTTTGTACTCTCCTTGATTTAGTGGAATCTCCCCATCATCTCCCCGTGGACGTAGGCAAATTGTCGAACCATGTATATCTCTGTGTTTGTGATTGATCTGTCGTATTTCAGTTTTGGATCGTGCTCGTGTGTGATTGGTTATTCTTCTCCCGTGCTTACGACTTGTTTGGTGAGCGAGCACATTTCCGCATAGGCGCATAGGCGCGCGACACAAGGTTGAAGTGCAAAACAAGCAATTTATAGCACGTGCACGTACACGTCACATGCCATATATATTTAGACTTCTGCTTTCTAAACGGTGAACAATATTTTCTACATCATTTTGCGCGTCCTATCTGAGACATGCCCCGCATGTGGACGCTATACTTCTTCGTGAGCATAACCCAGAGAAATTTCGGTCTCCACCGTCCATCCCAATTGGGTTTTATTTGATCAGAGGGCTCAGGTTCGTTCTTATTGGTTAATGTGACCCCAATCCTAAGAAACTCATTTTATGGATTTTTATAAGGAACCGGGAAGGACTATTTTTGATGATTTTCTCTCCTCTTATTTCCTTTTCTTTTGTTTCCAAGAAACGAACCGAACAGCATCTTAACCAACTTCTATTGCGGTCAAATGTGTATTTAAAATTTGTATCCATCAAGCGAATTCCAATCCAATTTACTCCTCTTCTTGTTGATCCTTTCAGTTTGTGCTCATCTGACTATGTCAAAGGATCTCTATCTTTGTACTTTTCCTGTTATGTTTTCATCGTATCAGAATCTGCAGTCAATATTTGTGGTTTCTATTAATTTGGGTCTTTTCTTTACAGATGGGCATTAAGTGAGTGAAGATTGATTAACTCTTCAAAATGGCAAATTGGTAAGAGAAGGGATTAGCTGCAATATTCTTTAAAAAAATAAAACCATAAATAAATATGATAGCAGAAATTGGGTAAACAATTTGCTCTGGATTAATCTATATATTATTTCTACCTTAGATAAACAATTTGCTTTGGATTTGTCAGGTATGGGCTTGCTGGGAATGACTTGTGCACAAACTTGGAATTACTACAAGCCATATCTTTCTGCTGTAAAACAAAACTGCAGAAATCATTATTGTTTACTAGTATCGTGACTATTTCAATCTTGATTACTAAATCTTGAGTATCTGGAAACGTGGTTCCTACTGACATTTCACCGATGAAGGAACTCTGGGATGGTAAATTTTAAAGAGCAAGTGCCATTTCTTCTTGTTTACATAACTCAGCTCATTTCTCCACTGCAGAAGATCACGAACTACAAATAGTTACTGTTTTAGCTAACCAGCGTCCACTACTTGCTTACAACATGGGTATTTATCAACTTACTGTTGTTCATTACAGTTTGTGCTCACTTGACTATGTCAACCGACGTTATCTTTACACTGTTGCCTTATGTTTCATGGTGTCATAATCTGTAGCCAGAACTTTGAGTCTCTGTCATACTCTGTAATTTTCATTGTAATACTACTATTTATTTGATGTGAGCCAAATCGGGGGAACATGGTAGTTGATATTTAGCTGGCTAAACCTTTGAAAGGTTCCATCTTCCCAGTCATATATTCCCATGTCACAAATAGAGTATCGATCGGTCTCACCATCAGCCGAATGCCCTCGCGGAATGTGTCTATTCTTCGAGCCATGTTCTGTAAAATATATGCAATTCAGCTGGCATCCTCGATACTCAACCGCCGGTACACAGAGTGAATGACTCTTACCCAAGAACAATGCTTGATCACCCAAGCTTCCCATCTCAACCCATTTAAACCCGAAATTGCCTCTCTTTATGCTTCTGTTGTCGAAGGTGATGTAGTGAGCGCCACTACGCTTTATCGGCTCATCAACAGCTTCAAGGTTGTATGCCCAGAAATCAACTGTTCTAAACATATTTTCATCATCTTCATCAGCTTGATGGCCCTCATAGAATGCATCATCTCCATACAAGCCTCTCACAGCTTGCAACAAATCTCCATTTGTCGACAAACGAATCGAATATACATCTGGTAAGTGAATTAAAAAATAGATTTAAGACTATTTAAGACTTAAAATCAGTATATAAAAGTTAAATAGAAATAGTAAGTGAATTAAAAATATGACATCATATGTGCAATAATACAAATAATAAGTTGTGATTAAATTTTAAACGAATATTTAATAGACAAACGAATCGAATATACATCTGGTAAATTCTATTCGTTAGTAAACTCAAATACTAAAAAATATTTGTTTAGTGGTAAATGAACTACCGAATCGAATATGATCGAATAGTTATTCGAACAATTATCAAACTATTTGTTAATTATTTGGTTCATTTCCACCCCTAATTCCAACTCTATGTTGTCTAGGAATAAGAGTTCTAATAAGAATAGAAGTTCACATGTCCTAAAACCCAACAAGAGTCTAAGTAGAAATAAGCCTCTAATATGATTGGTTGTGCAAAGTCTAATGTAAGTAGGACTCTTGATTAAAACAACTCAATCTAAAAAAAACTCCCAAAGCAATATGGATTTGAGTATTTGAGATAACCTATAACAAATCTCCACCTTGACTCAAATGCGTAGAAGATTCTTCACTTCAAAATAAGTTAACTTACTCTACCTTCTCCAATAGCCTCACTGGGCATCTAAGTGCAGCATGTATTGGTCAAGTCCAAGCCTGGCTTCAACTTGCTAACTGAAAGAGGCCTCCTCAAAAAATCGACTGAATAGTCCGCAAGATGACTGTAAATATTAGCAAAGTCATCACCTGAAGCAGCTCCTGAATAGCTGAAGGGCACAAAATTGTCAACCGACAATGCATAAGCTACTGTATCTTCATATCTGCGAGGTGGTCGAATATCTCGTCTAGACCAATCTCTAGCAATAGTGTATTTTCGCTCTTCCTGCAGCTGCTGAGGTGCTTCATCTACTTGAACGTGATCTGCCTGTTGAACTCCCGTAGTCTTATCCAGCTGAAGAGCTGAATCATGAATTTTTAACTCCACCTTATGTCCTGTTGTGCGCGTCTTATCAACAACTGAAACCGATGATCGTTTCTGGTGGAATATAGCAGATTCATCAAAAGTAATATCACGGCTAATAATAATTTTAGGAGACTTTGGATCAGGACACCGCAACCTAAAATTGTTAACACCCAATACATAACCTAGGAATATGCACTTTTTTGCATGTGGCTCAAGTTTTCCTTGACTAACATGTGCATATGCAGGGCAACCAAATATTCTAAGATTAGAATAATCTGCAAGCTTACTGGACCAAACCTCCTCTGGAGTTTTACAACTAATAGTAGTAGATGACGATAGATTCATTAAGTAACAAGCTGTATTCCTTGCCTTCTCCTAGTATTCCCTGCCTAAACATGCATTGAACATCATACAACGAGCTTTTTCTAATAGAATTTTGTTCATACATTTTGCCACTCCATTCTGTTGCGGCGTGTGAGGGACTGTACGATGTCTAACGATTCTCTCCTTCTTACAGAACTCATTAAATTTTCCTCCACAAAACTCAATATCATTATTAGTTCTAAGTCTCTTAATCAACATCCCAGTCTTAATCAACATCCCAGTCTGCTTCTCAATCAAAAACTTTTACTGTTTGAAAGTCACAAACACCTCATCTTTATGTCTCAAAAAGCAGACTCAAACCTTCCTGGAGTAGTCATCAATGAAGGTCAATAAATATCTAGAACTAGCACCCATCAAGGCAACTTGAGAAGGTCCCAAAAGATCTGAATGGATATAATCCAAAGTACATTTAGTTTGATACACTGTCGTACTGAAGCTGACTCTTTTCTACTATCTAAAGATGCAATTCTCACAGAATCCCAATTTTCTTGTATTCTGTCCACATAAAAGACTCTTCTTACTCAACTCGATCAATCAGCGTTCACTCATATGACCAAGTCTCATATGCCATAATCTGATAGTATCAATTCCTGACATCGACGATGCAACTGCAGCCGAGATGATAATGGTAGAACCCTGTAAAACATATAAGCTGCTGATATTCTTTCCTTTTATAACCACAAGAGAGCCTTTTGTAACACTAAGAACTCCACCTTCACCTAAAAAATTGCACCCAATACTATTAAGAGTGTCCAAAGAGATGAGATTCTTGCTTAAATCTGGAACATGCCTAATAGCTTCATAAGTAGTGAACCGGTCCCGATTAGGACACATATGATAGGAACAACCCGAATCCAAAATCTAATCATCCATACTCCTGTTTATATTATCTGTAGCCAACAAAATCACATCTTTAGCAATATCAACTTCAGCGGAGTCCTCCTTTAATTTTTCTTCATACTCTTCTTGTTTATTTTTGTTCTTTAATCTGTAACAATCGGTCTTGATGTGCTCTTTCTTCTTGCAATATCTGCAGGTCACATTTATGTGCTTCGACTTATACATGTTACTTTCAAAGCCATTTTATTCTGATCTTCCTTGAACAAACAAGCCATCAGATTTATCACCACTTTCACTTGTGGTTACTTCTCTGTTAATCTTCTCCTTATTCAATAAGTTCTCTTTGATGTCCTTGATACTAATAGAATCTCGACCGTAAATCATAGTATCCCTGAAGTGCTTGTAGGAAGGCGGCAAATAACACAATAACAATAGGGCATGATCTTCATCATCAATCTTAACATCAATCTTACTCAAATCTGTAATTACAGAATTAAATTCACCAATATAAGATTTGATGGGTGTTCCTTCCGACATCCTAAGTGTGTACAAACGTTACTTCAAGATGAGGCGATTAGTGAGCGACTTCGTCAAATACAAATCCCCCAATTTATACCACAAATCAGCGGTTGTTTTCTCCACGAGAACTTCTTGTAAAACTTCATTTGTCAAACATAACTTGATCGATGTGAGAGCTCTATCATCCAACTCGTTCCAATCTTCCTCCGTCATAGTAGTCGGTTTCTTCGACTTCCTAAACAAAGCCTTCTTCAATCCACTCTTTGTCAACATGGTGATCATTCTAACTTGCCAAAGGCTGAAACTGATGTTGCCATCAAACTTCTCGATATCCCACTTCGTAGTAGTTGTCATCATCTTCTCGTCAGATCGATAGTTGAGGGCTCTGATACCAATTTGTTATGACAAACTCCCTAGGATAAGCTAATATCAATCACACGAGAGCACGAAAAATATCAAGAACACACGAACACAAAGATATACGTGGTTCAGCTTGTAGCCTACGTCCATGGGCGAATGAGGAGAAAACTTTACTAAATTGTGAAGAATACAAAGTGGAACCTCTCAATCTCCTAATCCCAAATAACAGCCCCAAAGCCAAATACAACTCGTAGCTAAAGGAACAAAAAAGAAGAATATCAAATAGGCTTCACAAACAAACTCTCTCTTCTTGATTGGTGCTCTAAAGATTAATGCATCTAATTGGCTTAAAAAACTATTCTTATATAGCCTTGAAGATCCTAACTCATTGTTGTCTAAGGAATAAAATTTCTAATAGGAATAAAAATCCACATGTCCTAAAACCCAATAAGAATCCAAGTAGAAATAAACCTCTAATATAATTGGTTGTGCAAAGTCTAATGTAAGTAGGACTCTTGATCAAAACAAATCAACCTAAAAAAACTCTCAAAGCAATATAGATTTGAGTATTTTTTTTGAACTGAAGAAGCAGGAAAAAACTTCCTGCTCATGTTATATATATATATATACCAAAAAGACAAAAAAAAGTAATTTACATACCTAACCACCTGATATGAAAGAAAAGAAATTCTTATGAGTCACCAGCATAGACTGTATTTGCTTACAAAACACTACACCATAAACCAGTTAGGAGATAAAAGTAGGAGCTTCGCCTTAGAGTAACTTCCCAAAAGAAAAAACCACAAGACAGTCTGAACTGAGACCAGGCATTTACAGGGTCTAATCTGACAAGAAATTATCTCCCACCTCAACAGCTGCCTTCTTCTTCGCGATTTCATCAAACTGCAACTTTATAGCAGCCCTACAAATCCTTTTAGCTAGCATGTCCTTTTGAGCACCTGCCCAAAGAAGAGTGTATCTAGCCACATTAGCAGCAATAAGATCAGAATTTTGATGCATATCTCTAAAAATGAGCAAGTTGCGGCTGTTCCAGATCCACCAGCAACAACATGGAAGCACAACCTTCCAAATGCATCTAATATAACTGTTGACTGCTGATGAATCTTTGATTAGTATCAAGTCTTTCATCGAAAGAGGCCAGGAGGCAGCATTAACACTGGGAAAGAGGGTTGACCAAATTGAAGATGCAAAGGAGCATGCAATGAATAAGTGGTCCTGGCTCTCAACTTCTGAGTAACAAAAAGGACACCTAAGATCTCCGGTCCAGCCCTTGGAGACTAGATTGGCCCTTGTATTAAGCTTATGATTACTCACAATCCAGAAGAAGACTTTGACTTTCAATGGGATTGGAGATTTCCAGATGAAATTGTAGAATCTAGATATGCATCCTCCAGAAATAAGAGAAGAATAGAGAGATTTAACAGAATACATTCCTGATGAGTTAAGAAGCCAGCATACTAGATCCTTGGATACGATAGAATCACAGCCAAAAGGTTCTATATAGGCTAGTAGATTCTGTACCTCTCTATACGATTCTGGAGAAATACATCTTCTGAGAATAGGTCTCCAATGCCAAGATTGATTTAAGAGGAGACCCTGAGATCTGATGTTGCTATCTTTAGAGAGTGCAAGAGAAAAGGCCAGAGGAAAGAGGCTCAGAGAGTTTGGTCCAGCCCATTTGTCATACCAGAAGCTGCACGTCTTGCCATTTCCTACAGTCCATCTGGCAAAAGAGAGGAAGACTGGAATAATAGAGCTTAATTCTTTGAGCAGGTAAGATGATTTTGATCTGGGTTTGATCACAACTGGATTGGAATCATCCTTGGAATACAAGGAGAAGATCACTCTACTGATTAGAGAGTCCCTCTTAAAAATTTTCCAAATCCATTTCGAGAGGAGAGAGAGGTTAAAAACTTGAAGATTGATAACACCCAAACCTCCTTCTAGTTTCGGTCTGCAAACTGAGTTCCAGGCTACCAAACATTTGAGTTTGGATGGAAGATTGCTCCCATTCCAGAGGAAATTTCGTCTAATTTTGTCAATTTCATGAATCAACCACTGAGGGGATTTGAAGAAAGAAACATAGTAGAGCGGGAGTGAGGAGAGAACTGAGTTAACCAAGGTTAGGCGCCCTCCTATAGATAGGGATTTATTTTTCCAGAGAGAGAGTTTTTTTGAGAAAGAATCAAGAAGAGGGAGCCAATCTCTTTTAGATAGTGCACCTTTTTTGAGAGGAAGACCAAGATAGGAGAAGGGTAAGGATCCCACGGAACAATTTAGAAGTCTGGCAAGATGAGAAGCCTTTCTGGGAGATCTCCCAAGGTAGTATAGATGAGTTTTGTTTGGATTTACTGCCAGACCAGAGATGAGAGCAAAAATGAGGAGAATAGCTTTTAGAGTGGACATATCTGCAGATGAAGCTTTGGCAAAAATGATTGTGTCGTCAGCAAATTGGAGGGATTTGATATTGTTAAGTTCCCCTTTCAGCTGAAACTCAGACAGGTCTCCGGAATCATGACTAGATAATAACATTTTGT